AGAAACACGCCAATCTGGTACCTAGCATGCTAAAAATGGCAACAACCCATATTTTTTGTATTTTCATTTGTCTGGGTATAGCATTTCCATAATTATCAAATTTCAACACAATTCTGCATCCCCAAATTGATCTCAAACGCCTTTCGAACTGAATCGTGGCATCAATTTATTGCATTTTTTACCTATTCAGCAAAATTTTGTGCATTTCTGACTGAGTTTTGCATCTTTTCGGCTAAATTTTATTCCATTTTTGCGTTTTTCTTCTAAAACAGTCTAGCACTACTCACCAGAGCAGTGGAAGGTTACATCTCAGGGCTTTCTGAGAAGGATAGTGTATTTCACTACTCTGCTTAACCGTTATCACCGCAAACTACTTCTTAACAGGGGACTTTTGTCGCTCGTTAATTCTTTCTAAGGATTATGATCAAAGCTTCCTACACGGAAACCGAACAAGCACGGTTTTTACGAAGACATGCAACCAAGTCCGCTAAACGGTACAAAAAAATACCAGAACTAAATTAATCTTGAACTTGTTTTACGGCTGAGATTTCCAACAGTAGATCGAAGAGACCCTAAAAACCCTTGAAAAAAAAAGAATTTAAAAAGTGCCGGCTGTGATTACCTGTTGCTTGGTCGAACGGTTTGGTTTTAAGCTGAAATGCGTCTCCTGCAATGCCTTCTCAATTACTTTGGTTGAATAAGGACGTTTGGTGTCCGGATTGACACACATTGAGGAGACCAAATTGGCCACCTCGGTGAATGATGCTTCCGCTTGCGCATGACGCTCCTTTTCCGACACTTGCAGGTCACCCTTGTCCAAAATCTTAAAAAAAGACGTGATGATGCTTTTCGTCTGTTCCGACAAATTAGCTATGAAAATGTCTAAACTCAAATGAGCTAAGTGGAGAGGATAATGGGAAGCAAACGAACGAAACCGATCGTCGAGAGGAGTATGCAGTGCTTAACAGGAGTTGAACTGACTGCTTGTGTGATGCTAGGATCCATTTGAATGTCTACATGGAATTTTGTGGATTAGACGAACTCAAAATAAAGAATGGAGAAGTTGCCAGCTGTAAATGAGAATATCATTCTACTCCCGTTTTACAGCATCTTCTTATCATACTGCACAGCCGTTACCTCGGAACTTAAAAAAGTAATAGAAAAGGATATTGGATGATTTATGAGGTCATGCATATATGATATGCTAAACCTCAGAAAAAAAAATACTACTGCACTCGGCGCGTTCCCAAACTTATTGTGCCGGAAGCAAAAATACTATATCAAGGTAGGCGCAGTTTACAGCTCCTCGAGATCGCTCAAACACCTCCTCTCCTGGCCACGCCCAAACTTCCCCCATGCATAAACCCAGTTTTTGGGAACAAAACTCATTATCCGTTCCACTCGGATTGAGTGGCGGGAGCGAGTTTTGTAGCCCACTGTCCTCAGCCCCCACAACCTTTCCCTTCCCCTTTTATGCGTTTTTGCCGTGCAGCGCTAGAGCGCTGCAATAGGCAGCAAAAACGCATATTGCAACG